AGAAGAGATTGTTCTTTACTTATATTTATTACAGCTTGAGAAACTTATCGTTGTAAACTGCAAAAAACAGATATTCAGATGAAAATACACTAACAGATTGTACCTTTATTTCAAAAAAGTCATAGAAGTTCATAGAGTGGCCACCTCATAACTGGCACGCAATGAACGACCAATCGTAGAAGAATGAATGCCGTTATGAAGCTACAAAATTATGAAGTTTTTACACCTAGTAAATTATCAAACATTAGAAGAAAGCAAGGATATCAACCCCGTACATTAATAGATCAAGATAGATAAAATGCAGATTGTACAATCAAGAATTTTGCGTCTAAAGACTAGGAAAATAAGAAAGTCACTTTACAAGGAGTGGTAGAACAAATTTGCAATATAATTGAGGAATCATAACGGTTGAATATATAGATTACTCAGAAGTACAAGAATACGTAGTTATCAAGAAAGTACACTTAAATAATAATATTCAGTAAAGATAACATTTGCAAATTCTGAGCATTTGCTAGTGTGAAAATTTCTAGATATGATTACAACTATTTCTTATAATCAAATTAACTGTTGCCTTTTCCTTCGTTTGGTATAGCTGAGCTTTTCGAAATATGCTGTTCCCAGTTTGAGCTCGAATATAGCTCACAAGATGCTCCTTTACACTCTCTAAGATGTCGTAGACGTTCGCTTAGCTTTTCTAACACATCCATATCCAGCGAATAGACGACATTATGGAGCTGCAATATATCCAAATAATGTGGTTCTCTTAATGGAGCATTGAGATCATTACAAAAAAAAAATATCTACAAGGATATTAACACTATGGGAAACAAAAAATTGTAACTTTAACGTGATATAACTTTCCGTTCCTTTAAACATTCTAGAAGTATTTCCTCAAAGATTGGCATCTTGTAATCAGATTGTCACTTTAGGAATGAAAAGATACCAGGTGGAATGTTTGTGAAATATTTCCAGAAGTCGACAAAAATAAATGGAAGGTTTAGATCTCAATGAAGGTCTTAGGATTTTCTTCGTAACAGATTTCATTACGAATA